CCCTCTTCCCTTCGAGAGGCTCTTCCTTTTTTCCCTCTATCTCAATTTTTCTTGAATTATAAAACTTTTTCTACTTGGTCATCCTTTGGGGGTCTTTCTCTTCCTCCTACTCACTTTTTTCCAATCTTCTAATACTTTTTAAAACTCATTCCCCCTGCATTCCCTTTCCATTTCCTCCTGACATCTGTTCATTCTTTACCATAAAAGTGTTCCTCCTCTACCTCATTCTATTCTGTCCTCCTGCATCCAAAGATGTCCTTCTTCCTCTTCTTCAGACCTTTTCTTCTCCTGCTACAATTCCACATTCCCTTTTGGTTTCCCCAAACCCTTCCATCTCTTCATCCTTCCCTCTCCTCCTTTCCCAAAGCTTTTAGTCATTTGCTATTCATCAGAAAGTGTCGGATCTCAATAGGAGTACAGACACTTTTTTCCTCCCAAGGGACATCAGACTATTGAGTGTAATTTTCCTTCATCACTGCATGTGTGTGTGTGTGTGTGTGTGTGTGTGTGTGTGTCAGAGAGGATGAGGCAGTGTGGGATTATCTAAAAAAAAAATCCCGTCAAAACAACTAGCTTTGTTTAATGGTGCGACACAGAGAAGCAAACAAAAGGGGGAAGGAGAGGAAGGGGAGGCATGGGGGTGTTGCACATGGTGATGAATGCCCAAGGGCCCTGGGGGTAATGATGGTGGTGGGGGTTGTGGGCATTCTTCCACACAAAAAAAAGCATTAAGGAAGAAAGAGGTGTTGGGCAACAGGAGATGTTTTGTGTGGTGCCTGTATTTGCAACTGGTGTGTGCATGTGCATGTGGGAGCAGCAGCAAAATGCCAGATTTTTTAAATATTAGGTCCAAAATGTCTAGCGAAATAGAAAATGTGTTCAGTGAATTGTAAAAGTAGGTCAAGAGGACATTCTGGTGGCTTCCATTTAAATCATATGAAATGTGGTTGTTTTCTGGCAGAGAAATGTTTTAGTATGAACAATGTGAATCCTCCCCCAGAAAAGCAGCCAACAAACGCTTTGAATCACGAGTCTCACCGGTCACCTCACACTCCTGCCTCCTGCACAAATCCACACAGTGATCAGTTTTTCATCAGGGCCACAAAAAGAAAATATTCAAGACCTTCCTGGTCATTTCTGCTTTTATCTGATTTTACTGGACAACTGTTCCTCTGTGTGATACCAATATGAGCTGACAGCAACAAAAGGCGTCCCATCTGTTATAAACTTTCATTTCATTTTGGTCGTGTCCTTTATGTTTAACTGAAACGTGGCATCCCAAATCTAATAAAGTGGGATCTTTTTCTCATTTTGCCCAGCTGTTGTTTGCTAACGCTGCCTCAGCTGAGCCTTCATTTGACACTTGTCTCAGGTGAACCATCATGGCACATCTAACTCTCACAGTCAAGTGTCTGTAGCCATGCTGGTGGCCCAGTGAGGCTGTACAGTGGTGCTTTTGAGCTAAATTCTCACGTGGACAGGTGTAAGTTAACCGAGTTTCTGTTGAATGTAATCTCTTACATTCTCTTCTCCAATCTCTTCTCAATACCGGCTGCAAAGCAGTTCTGTAGTTCAGCTCCAGTTTTAGAAATGGAGTACAAAACCCATCCATGTCCTGTGCAAAAGAAAAAAAAACTTCTCAAGCTCTGCTAAAGCTAAAGAAAGGCCTCAACAGGCATCTTCCCATGTTTCAGTCTTTTTTGTAAAATAAAATCCCCTGAATAAAGGCTTTTTCACAGCAGACATGTGACTTACCACAAAAGGAGAAGCATAGGGTTACTAATGACATTAACAAAGACTCTGTGTCCAATTAAATCATGGCAGTGTGATAGCGAGCTTGCATGCACAGTGCACAGGACCAGGACCTGAAATCGAACCGGTGAAAACTAATTCAGCCATTGTTCATTTTATTATTTACACCTGTGCTTTGCCTTGTGTGCACACCCGTTTGTTTAATTTAACTTAATTTTAGTTTTGCAACATACCCAGTTGTTTATTTTGGCTAACTAAAACTAACACAATTATCTTCTTCAGCTGCACGGTCACCTCCAGTCAACTCCACCTCAACCTGAATGCCTTTTGGTCAACTAGGCCACATGTGAGTTCTTGTCTAAAAACAGTAACATTTACTTTAGAAGCATTCAAATCTGGCCAGTGCATTTTCAAAGGGCCGTATCTCCCACACAGTTCATCCATTAAAGATGAAAACCTACTTGAATTAAAGGGGAGATTTGGCACTTTATCTACAATTTACACAACATAAAGAATGGAAAATGTGCAATTAGTGAACCATGCCTCTCTGCCTCCTCCTGAGCAAAAGTTGTCCCCATAAATATACCAAAATGTTGATAAAAAGACAGGAGTTGAGAAAAGATTGTGATGGGAAGAGATGAACTGAGTGGATGAGATTAGATGAGAAGACAGTAAAGGGGGGAGAAGGAGAGAAGAAAGGATCAAGGAGGCAGATGAGGAGGGGACAGGTTTTATATAGGAGTTCTTCCACATCAATTCAAGAGTCTAAGGGCGTTGTATGCTGTACAGACTGTGAAGAGGCACATTTGTGATAGTGAGCTACATAGGCAATATAAAATGTGACTTGACTTGAGGACAAAGACAAAAAGGAAGGCAGAGTGGGAGGGAAGGGAGGCTCCTTCACTACCGCTGGCCTACTTTAGCCTTCTCCATTTTTTATAACATATACTCACACTTGCATATAAGCACTAAAGTTATTGTACACACACACAGACACGAAGAGGCATCACAACTCAGCATGCACATGATCAGACTGCAACCTGTCAGTGTCACACAGCATGCATGCAAGCACAAAGACACACACACACACACACACACACACACACACACACACAGAGGGAACATTTATGCCCTCATAAGCATGCAGACAGAGCAGTGAAATGTCAACTACAAAAACATGCATGACCACACGCAACCTGAACAACAGAAAATCA